CAAAAAACCTCATCTGCTGGAGCCAGGTGTGGTGGGTATGCCTGTTATCCCAGCACTCAGGAGGCTGAGGCAGGATAATTGCTGTTTGAGGCCAACGTGGACTACAAAGTGAGTTCAAGGACAGACTAAGCTACATATAGCAAGACCCTGTTTCAAAGAAACCCCCCACCCAAAATATGAAATTCTAATCTACTGGGCAGGTGGGTCCCCCTGCTGGGCCCAAAAGCCCCACCCACCCCATAGCAATACTTGACCCACCCCATAGCAATACTTGGAGACCTGGGAGCAGGGCAGCCTACCTGGAGCCCTGACCTCAGACCTCATATGCTGTGGGGTCACTCACTGTACCCAGTTGGACCAGGCCTGGGTGCAGGGGGCCTGGCAGGAACCTCCATAAATGGTACATGTTGCTGAGTGTCTCTTGCCTGCCACTGTGTGAAGCCTAGGCCCCTGCTTTCTAAGGGCCCATGTAAATATGTACATTTCTCAGACCAGGGCCTGCAGCGGCTGCCCAAAGCTCATTTTTCATGCCTTGACTTGATTAATAATCTTTTCAAAGGTACTTGGATAACAAGAAATAAAACAAGTTTTTGAATTTGAAAAAAAATCCTAATCTATAGCTGGTTATTGTGGTGCACACCTGTAATGGAGCACTTGGGAGGTTGAGGCAGGAGGATCTGAGGACAGCCTAGGCTACATAGCAAGATCCTCTCTCAAATATACAAAAACTTGGGCCCAGGATTTAGCTCAGTGGTTCTGCCGCCTGCCCCGCAGGCTCAAGGACCCAAGTTTAATCCCTGGTACAAAAAAAACAAAAAACAAAAAACAAAAAAAAACTGTGGCACACGCCTGGCCTGTCATCCCAGAGCTCAGGAAGCTGAGGCAGGAGGATCAATTCAAGTTCAAGGCCAGTCTCAGCTACACAGTGAGTTAAAGGCCAGCTTACACAGTGAGACCTTGTCTCAAAAAACAAAGAAAGCAACAACAAACAAAAAAACAAACAAAATAAGCAAACATCCCAATGTCTAAATCTTCAATTCACCATCTTTATTTATTTTTCTTTTGTTTTATTTTGTTTTGATTTTGAGGGAGGTCTCACTTTGTAGCTCAGGCTGGCCTCAAACTCACATGATCCTCCTGCCTCAGCCTCCTGAGTACTGGGATTACAGGTGTGCACCACCATTCCTGGCTTCACCAACAGGTCTTTACTGAGTACCCACCATGCTGGGTCCATGGCTATTGAAGACGGTCCCATGAACAGGACAGACAAGCCTCTTCATGGAATCCACAGTCCAAGTCTAACTCACACTTAGTACGGAAGCATTTGTTTTAAAATAGGCCAATTTTCAGTGCAGGGGTGAAATACACATAAAATAACCATATGCAAGAGACCAATTCAATAGCATTTAGTACATTTACAATGCTGTGCAAGCAGCACTTATATCTAGTTCTGAAATGTTTCCATAACCCCCAAATTAAACCCGGTATGTAGTAATCAGCAGTTTCTCTCAGTAATTTTAATTACTGATATTTTCAAGTCAATCTATATCCAACTAAGTAACTGTGTCTTCTTAGGCAACACATACTTTTATGAAAGTTCTGCTTTTAAACTGAAACATCTGAATTCAAAACAATTCAAATCCTCCCTCAAATAATCAGTTTTCAAGAAACATAAGCAAAAATTTGCAGGTTTGCCTTAGTGTACACATCAGTGGTGTTCAAAAGAGAAAGCACTGTACCTGAGGGTGTTAGGAAACACATGGTCATATTCTGGCTTCCCAAGGACTGGGACGATACAGATGGGAGGAGCCAGACATGCAAAACACTTGGCTCAGGCAGTCAGCAAGACCAAATTCCATTGTGATGCTGGCCACCACTCTTAAAGGTACTTTATAAAGTATCCATCCCATCATGGCTCAGTCCATGTCTATCTGCATTCTTATTTTCTGAACATCAGTGTGGGGCATTTTTCTACATATAGAAAGTTTATATGGGAAGGGACGGAGAAATGAACAGGAGTAAGATGCGGTATATATGAATGACTACCATATGATGAATACATTCATTATGTATCACAAACATATACAAATAAAAAGATTTTTTTTTTTTAAGTTTCTGGACCAGGCTGGGTGGCCCACAACTGTAATCCTAGCACTTGGGAGGCGGAGGCAGGAGGATTACTGCAAATTCCAGGACAGCCTTGAGCTATATACTGAGTTGCGGGGGGATAAGTGTTACAGTTGTGGCCTAAATTTCCTAGAACTCAGCTCAAGAAGTCTTAACCCTGATGAATAGCTGACTGAAACTACACTGTGTACCTTTACTTAGGTAATGCTACGCCACTGTGGGCCACCTGTTGGGTTTTCCCAGCAGAGCTGCCAAAAAACAAAGTGAAATGACAATAAAAGGCATTTTTTGGAACCAAAGACAAGTATACTATATATTTTTACAGCTTGTCTTCAGACCTTATGTCTGAAATGCCAGCATTTTCATTCTTTATAGACAACAAACAGCACCAAGTTCATTCGAGAAATAAAAGGCAAACTAATCCTCCTCTTTTTTAAAATACACATTACGTGCGCTGGGAATTTAGCTCAGTGGTTCTGCTGCCTGCCTCCTAAGCACAAGGACCCAAGTTCAATCACCGGAACTAAAAAAAAAAAAAATTACAGCCACAGGGCTGAGCCTGACAGCAAGGTGAGCAGGCCCCAGGAAGCAGGGGCTGTGTCCTGGGAGGTGGGGACCAGACCAGACACTGCCTCACTCTTCCACAGCACCTTGGCTCTGCTCCCAAAGGCCCTAGCCTCCAAAGGACCACAAAGTGACCAACAACATGCCGAGCAGGCAGTGGTGCCAAGCAGTGAGGCCACACAGGACACCGGCCAAGTGCTGCACCACAGTGCTACACCAAGTGTGCCAAATGCCCCGGGACAAGTGGCCTGCACACATCAAGAAGAGCCAGGGATTTAGCTCAGTGGCACCGTGACTGTCTTGCAAGTGAAAGGTCCTGAGTTCAATCCCCAGGACCACACACACACACACACACACACACACACACACACACCAAAGGGTGGGAGCATATCCACCCCCAAGAGGAAGCCAGAGGAGCTGAGCAACTTCCCTATACCTGAGGAAAGCAGCTGAGGCCTGAGCCTCACTCTCCTCTGTGTGCAGTGAAACTTTACACCAATAGCAGCAGCAGCATCAAATACACTACACTGTTTCTGGATAAAATAGTATACAGTTTTTAAAACTTCCATAAAAACAATGTGATCTGGGAATGTAGCTTAGTGGGAGAATGCTTGCCTAAAATGTGTGAAGTCCTGGGTTCGTTCCCTAGAGCTGAAAAAACACATAAATTCAGGTGTGGTGGCACACATCTATAATCTCAGCATTCTGGGAGGAACCCAAATTGGAGCCCACCTTGGGCAACTTAGTGAGACCCTGTGTCAAAATAAAAAATAGCAACAGGGCTAGGGGTATAGTTCAGTGTGAAGGCCTTGGGTTCAACCTCAACCTTTACGGCTATACAATAAATAATCTCAATGAGGATTCTAAAAATTCAGGTCATCAACTAATCTTTTCTAGGGAAAAGGTCACACAAACATTCAACAATTTGGAAAAGAATTTTTAATATTTGGCAACTTCTCCCTCATACCACAAGCAGGTACCCTATTTCTTAAATTGTTGCAGAGGCAGAAGGATCACAAGTTCAAGGCCAGCCTGGTAACTTAGTGAGAACCTATTTCAAAATAAAAAGGGCTGAGTATGGAGCTCAGAGGTGGAGCACTTGTCTAGCATGCCCAAAAGCCTTTGTTCCGTTCCCAGTACCAACAGAGGTTGGTGGTGCTAAATTAAATCTGCCCTGCAGCTGCCTCTGCTGTGAAGTTGTTTGTAGTGAACTGTAACCTAGTATTATTACAGTACCTTCTTGAGGCAGCTGAGTCTTAGCCAATCACCTAAAGCAAATCCCTCACCACACCATGCCCAAATAAGGTGAATGCTGAGCTTGACCAATCAGGCTGTTTCTGTATCACTTCCTTTTTCTGTCTATAAATACTGCCCATCTACTCTGTTAGGTAGACTTCTGGTTCTGAATGCTGACTGATCTATGAATCAGTCTTTGCTTAAATTAATTCTTCCAAGTTTAATTTGTCAATTTTTTCACAACAGGCGACTGATTCTGAAAACTAGCAGTTCTTAAAACCCATGATAAAGATGTTCTTAAATTCAGTGGAAAAGGCAAGATACTTCAGCAAATGAAAGTGAGAGGTGGAGGGTCCGGCCCAAAATCAAACAGCTGGTGCAGTGGGGTGGGTAGGGATGCAGATCCTCATTCACTTTGCCCTCTAGGCTGATCCACACCTTAAGAGAAGAAACCCAATCCCACGCCTCAGCTATAAATTGAGAATCCTAAGCAGGACTCCAAGATAGGCTAAGCAGAAACAACAGTTCCATTCTTTCTACTAAAAGAAAATAGAAACTTTTAGTAAGAATGCAGGCCCACAATAAAAGCTCAAACTGACTAATTTCCTTAGAAAGGAAATAGCTACTGTTCCATCAACTAAGCAGAGCAAAAATCTATCACCCTTATTACCTTTGCACACTCTTGGTTTCAGACTGAGCACATACCAGCAGAAAAAGACAGAAAAATCTTTTTTGTCATAAGCTCTACCCATGTTTAGAACCCAGCAGCACCCATAGTACTGAAAAGCTGTAACTTCAAACTCTACACTGCACATCACTGGACAATGTGATGTGAAAAGGTCAGATTCTCTACCATGTCTGGTCAACAGGGACAGAAGTTCAGTACAGAAAAGCAAGGTTCACAACTCTGGAAGATGCAGCGCCAAAAAGTTTGCTTTCCAACCAGATGACCTCTATCTCCCCAGGCAGGCTCCAGATCAGCAGAGAGATTCAGTCCTCACATGGGCGTGCTTCTGAGACCCCTGAGAGAAGAAAGTGAGACCAGTGACAATGAAACTCTGCAGTCTACTTACGTAATGGCAACATTGCTCCCGTCTATAACAATGTGCTTCAAATCCATTCTTCCTGGCTCATTTTTTAATTCCAGCTTGTAGGGTACTTTTAGAGTATCTCGAAACCTTTGCACCCCTGTAACTGAGGAATCAATATGATCGGAAGGTCCTGCTGACCTTGCCTCTGTAACTGATGGGGGCAAGGCAGGCAGCGGCATCGTTGGTGAAAGGGGCAGACAGTTTGGCTTGGGCTGAGGAGGGCCACAACATCCCAAAGGTTTTTCACACACAGCTTTCATATTATTTGGAAGCAAGGTTTCTGCTTGCTGCTGTAAACCATTTTCATGAAAAACTGGGATTCTAGGCTGGTGACTTGAAGCTCCCCTTGAAACAAAATTGATATCTTTGGGACTTGGTGGGGCAACAGAGGGTGAAAGGCCATCAGTTTCAAGGTTGGCATTACAAACATAGCTCTGGTTTGAATCCCGGATTTCATGTTTCTGTTCTGATGGCACTGTTCTGAAATTACTAATTTTGCAATTTAAGGTACATGGTTTAGCTTCTACTTTGAATGGTAACTGAGAAAACTTCCCTATTGTATTTTGCTGTGTGTAGACCTGTGTTTTCTTTGGAATAGAATCTGTTGTAAGTTCATTTATGCTGCCACAAATACTTTTACTTTTGGTTTTACTGGTGTCTGGATACATAGTACCGGGTGAAAATTCTTTGTCTTCTTGGAACCTTTTATTTTCTTTTTCAATTTCTTCCAAGAGCAATAATGGTTCAGTAGAAGGTCCATACTCCCTAATGACTTTTTCGACAATTTCTTGGGAATAGCCCATAGTTTTAAAAAAGTTTACAAGGATGTTGTACTCCATCTCCTCAGTAGTGTCTTTCACATCGAGATTTAAGTTTTCAGCATCAGCAGAAGAGTCAGAGGGGTCAATGATTACATTTCCAGCTGATGTCTTACCATCGTGTAAAAGCTCTTCCTCTTGAACATTTTCTAAAGAAAACTGCTTCTTAGTATGCCTTTCCTCCGAATCAGAAGATCTCCTTTTGTAACAAACTCTCTCTTTGGAAAGGGCCTCATCAGGATTTAGACCATTTACTGGTGGCACAAAAAGCACATCTGGTGAACTAGAAAAGACAGCGTCCATTTGTTTTGTAAGCTCAGAAACAGGAGTCCCAGCTTTATTTCTCGCATCCTCCTGCAAAACAGTTTCATCTCTAGAAATACTTGGTCCTGCAGCAGCATTCTGTGCAAACTCTGTTTGCAGAGCATCTCCAACTTCAATAACCTCTTCACCTCCAGTTTCAAAGGGATTCTTCTCACCTTGGGTGAGAGTCAAGAGTTCTTTTTTCAAGGAAGTGGGCAAAATCAACAAATCCATTGTGTAATTGTCTGCTCGAGCTTCAACAAACTGTTTGAATTCCCTTTTCACCTCGGAATCTTTCTGACTGCTTGGCAGGTTCTCATAGCTCTCAAAGAGCTTCACAAACTGCTGGATTTGGCTTCTAGCCATGACCACAGCCTCTGCGCTTCCTCTGATGCCCAGAAGGCCGATGTCTAGGATGCAGAGGTCCGCACAAGTGTCCTGAATCAAGCTCTTCAGAAACAGGCTCTGAGCCCCAACAAAAATGCAGTGCATGGCCTTAGGATAACACTCTCTTTCTTCCAGTTCCGGTTCACAGATACCTTTGATGTACTCCTATAAAAGACAAGGTAAGAAATTAGTTCCATTTACAAAAAGCTCCTTAACTACAAAAGCGAAGTTACACATGTACTTACAAACAGTGAGGTGATTTCACAAAATGTCTTAAGTATGTTTATAATTTGGGGAAATGCCTTGGTTTCAATAAAAGTTTGAAAATAAAAGACTTAAGCTATTTATCTTTGGAGGAATTATAAGCTTTGCATCTGTATCTAAAAGGCAGATATTTATAACATTTTAATTGTGTATCTTGCAATGTGATGTTAGGTGTCTCCCTAGTTACGGTATATTAATCCTGACAGTGGATTTATTTTCATCTAAAGAATAAATATCTTTGCTTGCTACTATTTATCACTACCAAGACATAATCTAGAGATAAGGTAGTCTAATGAGACAGCAAACCTTGCCTTGTGCTTTTCTACATTTATTCTGATTTTCAGATATAACAAAACACAGTCCCCCTTATTTCCAGATCTCTTGAAGTCATTTAGAAAGAACAAGATTATTTCACAAACATTTTTCCAGCTGCTAGGAACAACCTATATCCTATATAATTTCATAAAAGACCAGATTGTTTAAAATAAACACAGATCTAAGTATGAAAAACCAGAGAATGCTAAAAAGAACTGTCACTCTCAGATACTGTATTTGGGAAGGTCTAAATAAGGGAAGAAAGGGAACAGGGCTCTCTATAAGGCTGCTAAGGGACACAGAATGGGCAAGCGTACACACACACACACACACACACACAGAGACAGTAAGATTATCCGTTAATACCACTGTGGTAGTAATAGTACCACTGGTGTGACCTGTTTAAGACCAGTTTCTTCAACTATAAAAGAAGTAAAAATAGGGCTGGGGATTTAGCTCAGGGTACCATGCATGCCTCACAAGCACAAGGTCCTGTGTTCGATACCTAGTACCACATACCAAAAAAAAAAAAGGTAAATATAGTGCAATCATAGAAAGCTGGAGAGAATTAAGACAAAATGAACATGAAGTCCTGACAGCAGTACCTCACATTTGTGAGAAATGAACCTGAGGTGATACCAGATCCATATTCTCAACTAAAATCAGAATGCCACTGCCAAAAATAATGCTATTTAAAAGTCCACCCTGCACACTATCACCGCACTTCTGGTGGCAAATCCGTCTTCAGTTAGCACTTACATTCATACATGTGTGCCCGTTTCCTATTCATCTATGGCGCTGAGCCACAGAATCCCTATGAGATGAAACACCAGAAATTCGAGGAAGAAATCACAGAGAAGCCAGACCCAGAGCGTCCTCTGAGTAAGAACACCAGGCGCTTGAAGTCCTGGCGGCAAAGCACAGAAGCCCCCAGGTGCTGGACAGAGGCACCCTGTGATTTTTAACAGGATGATTTGGCCTTGTTGGTAACACAGCAACTTCATTAATTGAACCAAAGTGTAATAACTGATCATCCTTTCTTCCTGAGTGTGCAAGCGAAGTGTTAAATACTGATGTCAGTATGCTTGATGCTGAAACATTTTTAAACATTTGGTAAAATTCTCCAGCTAAACACAAGGGCCTAGAGATTTCTTTTATAGAAGCTTAAAATTAATTCAATTTCCTCAATAGCTTAAGGCTATTCTATTTATCTATTTCATACTGGGGAATCACAGTAGTTTGCACTTTTTGAGGAATTAGTCCAGTTCACTGAAATTGCTAAATTTACATGTGCAGACTACACTATTGTTTATCTATAAATGTCTGAAGATGACAGTGGTATCCTGTTTCATTCCTGCTATCAGTAATTGTCTTCTCTTTGTCATGAGGCTAAAAAGTTTATCAATTTTTAAATTCAAAGAATGGATTTCTGTTTAATGGATTTTCTGCTTCTGTTTTAAGTTTAACATATGTGCCTTTTTTTTATATTTCTTTCTTTCTGCTTTAGTGTATTTCACTTTTATTATTTTAGGTCCTTGAAGTAGAAGCTTAGATTGAGTCTTCTTTTCTAATGTATGCATTTGTGTTACAAACTTCCCTTTGAGCCCGATGTGGTGGCACATGCCTGTAGTCCTAGCACTCAGGAGGCTGAGGCAGGAGAATCAGTGAATTTGAGGTCAGTCTGGGCTACCTAGTGAGTACCAGACCACCCTAACTGTCTCAAAAAACAAGTAACTTCCATCCCTACCCCCACTCCCAGTACTGGGGATCAAATTCAGGACCTTGCACTTGTGCAGCAAGCATGGCACCACTGATCTAAATCCCCAGCCCAAGATTTTTTTTTTTTTTTTGGTACCAGGGATCGAACTCGGGTCCTTGGGCTTGCGAGGCAGGCCACTGAACCACTGAGCTAAATCCCTGGCCCTAGAAACTTCCCTTTGAGTAGTGCTTTGGCAGTACTCCAATATTTTGATATGCTATATTTTCATTCAGTTCAATGCAATTTTTTGTTGCAATGTAATTTTTAAAACTTCCCTTGAGAGGTAGCTCAATGGAGGGACACTTTTGTTTAGTATACCTGAGACCCTGGGTTTCACCTTAACATAGTAACAACAACAACAAAAACATGGTATCTCTTAAAGAGCCATGTTTCGGGGTGGAAAATGTGTTATTTAGTTTCTAAGTATTCTCTAGGCTTCAGTTATCTTTGTATTACTGGTTTATGGTTTGATTACTTGGTGTTCAAAACATCCTACATGATTTCAATTCTTTTAAATTTATTGAGATTTGTTTTATGGCTCGGATGGGATTTTTACCTTGATAGTTCTATGGATGCTTGAAAAGATTATGTATTCTCCTACTCTTGGGTAACCATTCTATAAACATCTCTTCCAACCCAGCTGGGTGGGAGTAGAGGCAAGGTCTGTGTCCTTGCTGATTTTGTTTGATGGTCTATCGACTGTTCAGAAAGGAGTGCTGAAGTCTCCAACTACACCTATGGATTTGCCAATTTCTCCTTTCAGTTCTGGCAGTTTCTGCTTCACACATTTTGTAGCTCTGCTGCTACGAATATACACATTTGGCACTGTTACATAACCTCTTCTTGAGGTTATGTAACATGTACCTTCTTGAGGTAACATGTAACCTTCATCATTATGTACTACCATCATCTATGAGGATTTCCTTTGCTCTGAAGGTTACTTTATCTGATAATAGTATTGTCACTATACTTTTCATTTGATTTGTGTTTACATGGCGTATTTTTCTTCCTTTTATTTTTTGAATATTGTTATATTCTTTTGAGTGTATACCTATATTATTTTTTAAAATGAATTCCTTTAAAAAAACCTATAGTCTGGTTATGTGTTTTTAATCCATCATGACAATCTGTCTTTTGAATGGTATATCTAAATTTAAATCTATAAATTTACTTGTCTTTGTTTTCTACCTGTCCCCAATATTTTGTTCCTGTTTTCCCTACCCAGCCTTTTTTCTTTGCACTCTACATCCACTTTTAGTATTATAATTTGTTTATTGCCTTCTAACTGTATCTCTTTATATTGTTTAAGTGGCCACAATCATGACTACAATACACACACTTCATTTGCCCAGTCCACTTTGATTCAACAGTCTATCATTTTGAGAGGCATGTATTAGACCTTATTACCATCCATACAAATTGTGTTTTTTATTTTCTACATCTCATCAAGTTTTGACATTGTGGGAAGACTTTCAGAACCACGGAGAGACAAGGGACAGCTAATTCCGTGGGACTGACGGCCAGCTGGCCTGAAGCACACCTTCCACCTGCAGAATGCCCAATACAGTGTCACACTGCCTATTCCCCTGCCCCGCCCCTTTGAGACAGGTTCTCACTCTGTAGCTCAGGATAGCTCCTGCCTCAGCCTTCTGAGTGCTGGGATTACAGGTATATGCCACCATGCCCAACTCCCTTCTTAATTAACGCTCAAATACTTCCCTTCCCCTGTATCACCCCAGGGTCAGGTATCAGAAAACCAGCAGCAATCACTCTGCTCCTATGAGGTCACCTGGAACTTTTCAAACTAGCCATTCCTTTTGCCTCAGCTGCCTCACAGAAATCCCAATGAAGACCGCCACCGAGGCTTTTCCTCTACTTGATCCTGCTTCTACACGCTGACTAAAACCTGATTCTCCCCTTCTCTCAGGAAATGTTAGGGAGTAAGTTTTCCTTTCAATGACATTGACCTTCATGACATCACTCAGTCACCTCACAAATTCATGTCCTTTGGGTACAAATTTTAGGACACTAGCATATTGGTTTATCTGGGTTCCTTTCCTTCCCTCCCCACTTTATCGTACATCTGTCTATGTATTCCATGTACATACATTTGAAAACCCATTAGATGTTTTAATTTTTCTTTTCATGGTCAAACTCATATTAAAGAACTTAGGAAAAAGTAACCTATTAACAGTACTTAGATATTTACCATTTCTGTTTGGAGAACTCCCTCCAGAAATTCTTGAAGGTGGCTGCTGGCAAAGAATCCCCTCTAGTTTTCAAATGAGAATATTTTATTTCATTTTTATTCTTTAAGGATAATTCCCCTGGATGGGGAGTTCTGAGCTAATTTTCCTTCATCATTTAGAAAATATTGTGCCACTTCCTTCTGGCCTCCCTGGTTTCTGATGAGAAATCCAGTCATTTTGGATGTTGTTCCCCACCCATACTGTGTTTTTCTCTGGGTGGTTTCATGATTTTCATTTATCTTCAGTTTTTTAGCAGTGTCTTTCTGATGTGTTTGGATGTAGAATTTTTTGGTTTTACTATTTGTGTTCACTAAGCTTCCTGAATCATTATGAGATCCTTTGCTAAGTCTGGGGAAGTCTTCAATGCTCATTTTGTTAAATATTTTTCTAGCATCACACTCTTTTCACCCTCTTCACATTCAGATTAGGTTAACTCTTATTGTTCTCTCTTCAAGTTTAATAACTCTTGTCTCCTCCACGTCCTTTTCAAAATCAAGCTCACCCAGTGAGTTTTTACTGTTTACTGTATTTTTTTAGTTCTAACCTTCCCATTTGGGTCTTCTTCTATCTTCTA